ATCCAGTCTCCAGAACAGGTCTACCTCCCCTGTCCCTCTTGGAGTAATTTATACAGATTTTCTACCTTTTCAGAGTAGGAGGTGGAGAGCTGAGACAGCCCCTACTGTTACTGGGATCTTGGCAGAGACGATCTTAGCAACCAAGTTGATCTCTCTTTGGTTTTCAGAACACTTGTCACATCTCCAGTTATCTTGGAGGGAACTTTGCCCCATCACCATTGACTCACTACCCTGGGCTACCATAGTTTTGGTTCCCTAACTCCAAACTGACTGTTGACATCAAACGTGGGGGGACCTAAATGTGAGCTCAAACTCAGTGAGCACCCAGCTTAGGGAGGAAGCCCCAGAGCTCATCCAAAAATCTGAATGAAGTTCTTGATAAGCATATGAGGCGGCTGGCACATTGGAGCCAAGTGGCTGGATCGGGGTGGTGGGGTATTTTGGAGACATAACCAAAGGACTTGGAGGAATCAAATATGATGTATAGGTTTCTGACCAGGTGGATGTTGGAGCTTCTAACAGACAGGTAGAAACAGACTGAGAAGCATATTTGAAGAGAAGATGATGAGACCAAGAGTCCAGCTTTGAACATGTTGAGGGGGAAACGCTTGTAAGAGGTCCTCTCAGAGACACATGATGGACAGCTGAGTAGACAGGTCTGACCTCCGAAGGGACAGCTGGGCTGTGGGTACCGATGGGGGAGTTGTCAGTATAGGGGGAGGTGGTGATCGAGGCTCCGAGGAGAGGAGAGCCCTTTATACTGACAGGCAGCACAGAAGCTGGTGTCACAGGCCATTAGAAAGTAAAGGAAGACAAAGCCTGGGACATGCCCATTAGATTTGGCACAAAAGGAGCCTTCTAGGGACCTTTAAGGGGGCAGTTTCAGCGAGCTTTGGGGAGCAAAAGCTGGGTCTTCTTATGGCAGAGACTGCAGATACTCACCTAAGCCTGTTCCTCCAGCTCCCAAGAACGTGGCTGAATTTCATTTCCCAACCTCCCTTGTGGCTGAGTGAGGCCTGAGATCTGGCCCGTGGACTGTGGGTGGGAAAGGATGCCCTCTCACCTCCAGGATACAGCCCTTCCCCACTGTCCTCCCTGGACCCTTCTTCCGAGTCTCCCAGTCAGGGGAGAGGACCTAGGGGGACCTGAAGGCCTCGGGGGCCCAGGGCATCTACATGGTAGGGGACTGGGCCTTGGGTTGTTACATGGAGCCAGGAGGCTCTGGCCAGTGGGGTGGCAGGCTCAGACGCCCCGGGGTCAGCAGCAGAGTGGGTGATCAGCAGTGACCGGAGCAGATCAGTCACAGGACAGTTAGAGGGGTCTGCAAGCTGGAGCTTGGAAGTACTGCAGGGTCCAGGTGAGCCCCAGCCGGAGGGTAAAATGCTCCCTTCGGGAAAGTGCTGGAGTTGAAAGACAGCTGCAGCAAAATGCCTGCGGGTTCAAGACGCACCCTCCGCTTGTCATGCTCCCAGCTACACTGGCCCCTGGGACCCCGGCTCTGAGTCCATCCTTCACAGCAGGGCCACTCGCCGGGACAGGGCAGCCTGGTGAGGTGCTGACAGTGACACCACATTTAGCCACCGGCTCAGCCGGACCCTGCCTGGACTTGGCCCAGCAGCAGAAGCCTGACTCTGTCCACTAGAGTGGATCCATGGTCAGATCCGCCAGAGTCACAACCTGGCTCTGCTTGGCACCTACTGGTGAGCGTGAGCAATCCCCTCCCCCTTGCCACACCCCTCATCTGCAACGTGAAGGGATGAGGCTGGATGATTTCAAAGTCTCTTGCGCTGGGAATTCCCTGGCGGTTCAGTTGTTAGGACTCTGTGCTTTTGCTGCTGAGAGTACAGGTTCAATCCCTGGTTGGGGAACTAAGATCCCACAAGCTGTGAGGCTAGATAATGCCACCATCCCCTTGAAACAGCTGCATTCAGGATGCTTTGACCTGGTCCTGCCAGCAGGCACGTGCTATGTGCTAAGTTGCTTCAGTCATGTTCAACTCTATGAAACCCCATGAAACTGCAGTCTGCCAGGCTCCTCTGTCCATGGGATTCTCCAGGCAAGAATACTGGAGTGGACTGCCACACCCTCTTCCAGGGGATCTTCCTGACCCATGAATCACACCCGCATCTCTTACGGCTAACCTGCATTGGCAGGTGGGTTCTTTACCACTAGCGCCAACTGAGAAGCCCGCAGGCACAGGCCCTGTTATCTAACGGCAGCCTTCCAGTACCTCTGACCAGGAAAATCTTGTCACCATCAGCCTGTGTGAGTTAGGAGACACCAGGCAAGACTCCAGCAAGTAGAAGAAGAAAAGAGAAAGGAGAAGAAAAAGAGGCTTGTGGGGAGCAACCAAATGGGATCCTGGTATGAAATCAGCTATTTCTTCACCCCTGGAAGGGTTGCTTTCTCTTTCCTTTCTTTCTTTTTTAGCCAACTGCATTTACAGTGGTTATATTTACACTTTCTTTTCTGTCCCTATTTCTTGTTCCCTTTATGTGGACTGGCTCCACCTTCTACAACTCCTTTGTTCCAGGAATAAAAGAGAATTGGGAGGGGATGGGACTTGCTCTCCCATTTTGCTTTACTCACTGGGGCCTCCTTCAACGTGGCTTGCTTCTGATTTTTCTGGAAGAGTAGAGTTGACTGGGACCTTAGAAAGGAAATAGCCTCTCCTCTCCTCATCTACTCTAACATTTGTTTAAATAGAAGTGCCGCACTCAATATGTCAGCAAATTTGGAAAACCCAGCAGTGGTCAAAGGACTGGAAAGGTCAGCTTTCATTCCAATCCCCAAAACGGGCAATGCCAAAGAATGTTCAAGCTACCATACAACTGCACTCATTTCACATACTAGCAAGATATGCTCAAAATCCTTCAAGCTAGGCTTCAGTAGTAGGTGAACTAACTTACAGATGTACAAGCTGGATTTAGAAAAGGCAAAGGAACCAGAGATCAAATACCCAACATCCATTGGATCATACAAAAAGCAAGGAATTCAAGAAAAATATCTACTTCTGCTTCATTGACTATGCTAAAGCCTTTGACTGTATGGATCACAACAACTGTTGAAAATTCTTAAAGAGATGGGAATACAAGACCACCTTACCAGTCTCCTAAGAAACCTGTATGCTGGTCAAGAAACAACAGTTAGAACCAGACTTAGAAGTACACTGATTCAAAATTGGGAAAGGAGTACATCAAGGCTGTATATTGTCACTTTGCTTATTTAACTTACATGCAGAGTACATCATGAGAAATGCCGGGCTGTATGAATCACAAGCTAGAATCAAGATTGCTGGGAGAAATATCAACAACATTAGATATGCAGATGATAACACTCTAATGGCAGAAAGCAAAGACAAACTAAAGAGCCTCTTGATGATAGTGAAAGAGGAGAGTGAAAAAGCTGGCTTAAAACTCAGCATTCAAAAAACTAAGATAATCGTATCTGGTCCCATAATAGAAGAGGGGAAAGTGGAAACAGTGACAGATTTTATCTTCTTGGGCTCCAAAATCACTGTGAACAGTGACTGCAGCCATGAAATTAAAAGATACTTGCTCCTTTGAAGGAAAGCTATGACAAACCTAGTCAGCATATTAAAAAGCAGAGACATCACTTTGCCAACAAAGGTCCGTATAGACCAAGCTATGGTTTTTCCAGTAGTTATGTACGGATGTGACAGTTGGTCCATAAAGAAGGCTGAGCACCAAAGAATTGGTGCTTTATTGAATTGTGGTGCTGGAGAAGACTCTTGAGAGTCCCTTGGACAGCAAGGAGATCAAACCAGTCAATACTATAGGAAATCAACCCTGAATAGTCATTGGAAGGACTGATGTGGAAGCTGAAGCTCCAATACTTTGGCCACCTGATGCGAAGAGTTGACTAAATGAAAAAGATCTTGATGCTGGGAAAGACTGAGGGCAAGAGGAGAAAGGGGCAACAGAGGATGAGATGGTTGGAGAGCATCACCAACTCAACAGACCCGAGTTTGAGCAAACTCCTGGAGACAGTGAAAGACAGGGAAGCCTAGTGTGATGCAGTCCATGGGGTCACAAAGAGTAGGACATGACTTAGCAATTGAACAATTTCCCATTCTATAGTGATTCAGACTTCTATAAAGGAAACTTGCTGCCTGATCCTATGAGTACTAATGGAATGGGAGGTGACCAACAAGTGTACAGAGAAAACAGTCAGTGTACAGACTCAGGAGAAAATCAGCCTGGAATAGAAAATCTTCCATGACAATCCAGCCTGGGTGAGGAAGTTGACCAGGGTGGAGGGCCACGCAGAGCATATGACAAGCAGGAGTCAGGCCCAGCACACCTCTGTGCCACCCTACTGGGGGAGGGCAGGGAAAACTATCCCCACCAGGTGCCGCCCCATCTAGCTTGGATATGTCCTTGGGGGTGATGATCAGGCGGGGAAACCAGACCCAGGAGCTGCGAAACCACCTGAGGGAACAGGAGATGACCTCTTCAGAAAGAGGAAAGGTATTGTGTCTCTAAATTCCAAGAACTTGGCCAAAAGGAGAGAAGACAGCGCCTTATTTTTTTTTTTAATATTTTTATTTATTTATTTGGCCAAGTTGGATCTTAGCTGCAGCATGCAGGATCTTCCGTTGTGGCATGTGGGATCTAGTTCCCTGACCAGGGATGGAACCAGGGGCTCCCTGCATTGGGAGAGCTGGGAGTCTTAGCCACTGGACCACCAAGGAAGTCCCGACAACGCCTTTATTATGCATATGCTAGCGGAAATGACTCTGCAAGGGAAGATACTAGCTGCCAAAGCAGAAGCACAGCGACTCCGGCCTGGCCCCGCTGGAGGCTCTGAATCGGGCTCCTGCGGGGAGCGTCACGCTGAGCCTGGGCCACCGAGGACCCAGCGCGGAGCTCCAAAAAGGTGACCCAGTCACACGGATGTGGAGAGAAGCCTCCTCCGCGGAGGTGAAAACCACCGACTCGCCGGGCTCCTGGGTGGGCCGCGGCGGGCCCCCTCGGGCTTCACCGGGGCAGGCAGCCAGCCACGGGGTCGGCCCGCGGCAAGGGGACGAAGTTCAAGGGGCACAGCAGCAGCGGGCACACCTTCTCGTGCTCCTTCAGAGCCTCGCTCAGGTGCTTCAGCTCCTCCGTCAGCTTCCCGATCTCCCTCCGCAGCACTGTGTTTTCCTGCTCCAAGCTCTCGTACTCCTGGGAAGACAGGAAAGGCGCAAGATCGGCCCTGAAACCGCGTGCCCTTCCTCCAGCCTCCTGCCGATCTAACTGCGGGCCACGGAGCTCACCTCCTTCCCTGGCAGGTTCTCCTTAACCGTGCCTGCCTCCACCCCTCGGATGTGTTCATTCATCTGCTTCACGTCTCTTCCCCCGCCCCCCCACCGGGATGAAAGATTCTATGAGCGCTGAGTCTATGAAGGCTTTGGTGTGTGTGTGTGTGTGTGTGTGTGTGTGTGTGTGTGTGTGTGTGTGTGTGTGTGTGTGTGTGTGTGTGTGTGTGTGTGTGTGTGTGTGTGTGTGTGTCGCGCGCTTACTCACTTAGTCGTGTCCGACTCTTTACTCACTTAGGCTTTGGGGGGTGTGTGTGTGTGTGTGTGTGTGTGTGTGTGTGTGTGTGTGTGTGTGTGTGTGTGTCGCGCGCTTACTCACTTAGTCGTGTCCGACTCTTTACTCACTTAGGCTTTGGGGGTGTGTGTGTGTGTGTGTGTGTGTGTGTGTGTGTGTGTGTGTGTGTGTGTCGCGCGCTTACTCACTTAGTCGTGTCCGACTCTTTACTCACTTAGTCGTGTCCGACTCTTTGCAACCCCATGGACTGTAGCCCACCAGGCTCCTCTGTCCATGGGACTCTCCAGGCGAGAATACTGGAGAGGGTTGCCATGCCCTCCCCCAGGGGATCTTCCAGACCCAGGGATCAAACCTCCTCTCCTGTGTCTCCTGCATTGAGGTGAATTCTTTCCCTGCTGAGCCAGCGGGGAAGCCCTTACTGAGGTATAATTCATATAAAATAAAAGGCACCGACTTCACGTGTTTAGTTCAATGAGTTTCGACAAATATAAACTGGGTTGATGGAGATGCAAAATGCCTCCATCCATCTGAAAGTTCCTCGATGTTGTAGCCATGTGTTCCCGTAACAAACTCACTCAGAAGAACATTGCAGATAGTGGAGACCAGCAGGCCCAAGTCAGAGAGTCTCCTCTTAGCCAAGGACCCCGACCAGTTTTTCGGAAAACCTTACATACCCTAAGTGTTCATGCCCAAACCCACCTCCCCAAATTCCCTGAAACTAGTCTGAACAAAGGAAAAGAAAGATACAAAGTTAACCCGTGATTCTTATGCCTTAAGCCTAGGTAGTTAACAGTGGACAATTATCAATAGGCCTGTGGTCATACCCCAATAAGCATAACAGAATGTATGATTCTATCCAGTTACACAGATAATTAGGGTATTCTTTTAGGCAATGGAGACTCTAGGTACAAGCCCTGGGGCTCTTCCTTCCAGGGGCCTGGTTTTCCAGTTGGTCTGTCGTTTCCATAGATACGGGGCTTAAAGCTCAAACTCCACAGTCCGGTCCAAGATGAGAGTCCTGCTTTCAAGATGGAGCCTGTTCTGCTTCCTCCTTCGGTCTCCCTCTGCAGTCAGCCACCCCTGCCCCCAGCTGCTGATCTGCTTCTGAAGGTCTGCTGGGTTCACTCTTCCAGCCCCAGCACCTGGAAAAGTGTCTGGAACAGAACGCATGTTTGTTGAACGCTGAGTAAATGAGCTTTGCCTCAACACTCACCTGTTAAGTTTCCGCTATATGAGAGTTCACAGAGGCTTAGAACTGTAAGGGGGTGGGGGGCGGGAATCAGAGAGCCCTTAGCCCACCCCAACCAGTATAGAAACCTTCCCTGTGTAAGCCCATCTCCAACATCCGACTCTCTCTTCCTTCTAAGGACACCTCCTGCCGACGTTTCTGAGCCACTCCATTAGAAAGCTCCACTCTGTACGGATCTAAAATCCTTCTCCCCTTCACACCCACCTACCAGGCTTGGTTCCACCTATGGAACCACACAGAGTACGTGCGATACTTTCTCAACATCACAGTTCTTGAAATGTGAGGAGATGGCCCCATACCACTTCCCCTTAGGTGTTCTCTGAGCCCAACTGCCTCAGGTCCTCCAGGCTCCGTGGGTTTTAGGACTTCTGCTTCCTCTGCCCCCCTGGAGGCCATTCCCAATGTACATTCCATTTGCCAGGGGCTCTGAGCAAACATTCCCCTAACGCAGTGCATGAGTCTGGGGAGGGCCTGGCCGAGTGGAGGGCAGCTGTCTAGAGGTAGTCTGCTCTGGGTGGGACCCGCATTCAAACCCACCTGGCTCTGGAGATTCTCCCCGAGCTTGCAGAGAAGTGCAGGATTTGCCTGCATCTGCTGCATCTCCGTCCTTGCTTGAACGACCATTTTTTTGATATTTTGGCTTAAGGGTGGGGTCTACATTCACTTCTACTGAATTTCACCCTGTTTCTTAGGCACCTTCCAGCCCAGCAAAATCATTTTGAATGTTGATTATGTCAGCGCCTGAAATGGTGATGCCACACAGCTCTAAGTTTTCCCCTCATTTGATGAAGCAAGTCTTCTTTTTCTTCATCCAACTCATTACTAACTCCTGCAATACTCAGCCACTTGCAGAGCCTGACCTTCTCTTAAGGCTGAGTCTCATTTGCATCTTGTTGAAAAGCTGTTTTCAACCATTTCTAGGTTGATTCATATGATTAGGCTTTGTCGTACCATGCATTTTCTGAGCTGGGGACCCAACCTTATTATCTTACCAGTAATGTTTAAGAAATATTACGAAAAAAAGTCTGATCTTCTTACAAGCATGAAGACACATGCAAATACTCAGCTCTCCCTCTTTGCTAAAGCTGTTCTCCTCAACCGAGGTATCTTCCTTCTTTCGAATGTGGGTCCAGCTCAAGTACACCACCTCCAGGAAGGCTTCCCTGATCACAGCACCTAATGAAACCACATCTCTCATTATCTGTTCTCTTCAGTCCTGTATCATAGTTCGATTTTACTTATAGTAAATAAAGTCTCTCCCCAAAGATTAGAAATGTGTAGCAACCAGGGGCCTCTGCTACCTTCTCCCATGACCCTTCTGACGGGCCCCAGTGCCAACATCTACGACTCCTCAACTCTCGCCCTCAGCCTCCTCTTACCATTCTTTCCTCCCCTCCTCCCACTTCTAGGCACCTTCCTCCTGCTCAGAACAAGGGCCCCAGAGGGGTTCCATGCAAGGTCATTGAAGATATCCCTCCACCTCCTGTCTCTCCAAGGCAGGTTCTCAGGCTGGTCTGGAATACTCTTCATGGCAGCAGGCCTCACCCACGTGCCCGCAGGCTGTCCGGGGGTCACTCTGGCTCCCGCAGGGGGCTGGCCAGATCTGCCTGCAACTCTCCCCCAGACCTACTTATCCCCACCTCCCCACACCCTCCTCTGGCCTTTGACCAGCTCTAGTCCTGGAGCCAGAAGTCAGTCTCCTAACGCAGCAAGAGGCCCTCCGTGGGCAGGAAGGGTCTAGATGGGAGGAGGGCATGGGGGCCTAGGCACCACGGGGAGCCTGCCCACAGCAGAGGGCTGAGAGAGACTATAGCTCTGGGTAGCTCACAGATGCAGGTGTGCAGGTATGCGCACGTGTGCACACACAGACACACACACACTCCATCCTGCAACCGGAAAGTCTCTTCACTCCAAGTAAAATGGAGAACATGTTTGAAGGGTCCCATGCTGGTGGCTCAGATGGTAAAGAATCCACCTGCAATGCAGGAGACCTGGGTTCGATCCCTGGGTGGGGAAGATCCCCTGGAGGAGGGCATGGCAACCCGCTCCAGTATTCTTGCCTGGAGAATTCCATGGACAGAGGAGCCTGGTGGGCTACAGTCCAGGGGGTCGCCAAGAGTCGGGACACAACTGAGCGACTAAGTACAGTGCAGTGAGCTAAGATTTTAACTGGATTCCAAAGAACAGACTCCTTCCTGTGATGAATATTCCAAATGCCTTTGTGTGGTTACTGAACTGTGTGGCAAGATGCTCATGAGTGTCTGAGCTTTCCCTCTAGAAGCCACGGGGGCCACGCTACCTAAGTCCACTACTCGCCCCAAACTCCTGCTCAGAGAGGCCACAGAGCGGGCGCCCAGCAGGTCCCCTGACTGCCTTCTCCCTGGGGACTTTCTCTTCTGGGATTTAAGTTTTATTCATAAATCTGCAGAGGGGGCTTTTATCAAGCTGAGGGAATAAAAAGAGAAGAAGTCAAAATCTTCTTCAGGTAAGACCAGTTTCACAAAAATAAAAAAGGGGAGTGGGGAAGGGGAGGAAGAGGAGGTGAGAACACTGACTGTGTAGAGGGGAATGAGAAAGACCGTCTTCAGCCTGAGAACCACCTGGACCTAATATGTGTGTAAGACAAGCCGAGAACGTTAGACCCTTTGCTATCTCCAAAGAGATGATCAGTCTAGCTCCGATCTTGCCGACTCTCGAGTCTCCTGCCCCGGGAGGGTTTGAGGTCACCAGGCTGCCTTCTCTGGGTATTTGCAGGACACAGTCACAGAGCAGAGAGGAGAATGGGAGGTGGCGAAATCACTGCAAATCCCAGTTCTGCCTTGGAAATTAAGCTGTCTCGGGCAGTGATTCCCAACTGGGGCAATCTCGGCAGTCCCCAGGGGACATTGGGGGCGGCTGGAGGCAGCCTGGGTGGTGACGGCTGCAAAGGGGCACTGCTGCCTCCAGGGGGTCGCGGGTCGGGCACGGATGCTGCTCGATGTCCTAGGGTACACAGGACACCCCCCACAGTGAGGAAGTAGCTGACCCCAAATGTCAACAGTACTGTGCTTGAGAAACCCTGGTCTGAGCACCGAAGAGAGGCTGATTGAGGACTGAGGTGCTGTCTGGGTGGGGAGAGATCTGGAGTCTAAGATGCCTTTGACGTAAAGACTGGTATGTGGGAACCAGGGGCCAGAGATGATAACTATGGCGGGAAGGGAAGGAGGGGAAGGGAAAGGCCATCAGGAGGACACAGACCCCCCTTCACAAGCGAGGCAACCAAGACTCGGAGGTACAGTGACACTTCCGAGCTCATACACACTTGGGACCTGATCCCCGACCCCAAGATCAGCTGCCGCTCTCACGCAATGTAGCAATTCTGCTTTTGCTTGCCAGTGCCTGG